GTCTGACTTTGTTCAATCCCAGATCCTTTGTCTACTCCCAAAATGGGTTTTGTCACTGAAGGTCCCCTCCTTCTCCTGCTCCCTCCCTCCCCTGGCCTGTCTGATGTTCACTAGTTTTGGAGGCTCTTAATTTGCTCATTGCCTTCCTAGAGGGGTCATGGAGACTTTCATGATGAAACCCATGTCCAACCATCTCCCAACTCTGAAGCATCTTCTCACATGTGCCCAGTATTTGTAAAGCCACTCTGAGCTCTGTGCTCCCCTCTGCACAGCAAAAGGTGCAACTGGAGCCTTCGGGGCAGCCTGGGCTGCACCGAGACAGGGAGGACGGGTCCCTGGGCAGAAGTCTTCTCTATCCACTTCCCTCTCCTGTCTCAGTCAGTCCCCGGAAGTCCACGGGACAGGCCACACCTTTCTGCATTGGCTGAGTCCTTACCCTGGTCTCCATGGAGACATCTCACCTACCCTCAGGCCACTCCAAGGTGCTCCTAGGCTGGAAGCCTGGGCTGCTGACACTGCCTGCCCTGCGCCTCCAGAAAGCCATTGCAGGGGCTCACTCTGTCTTTCATTCTGGGCGTGATCAAACACACTGGTCCTCAGGAACTGCCGCTCACTAGCATTGAGATCTTGAAGAGGCTCCTTCACCTCTCGGAGCTGCTGTATCTTTATCTATGGGGGGGGATCACAATACCACTTTGAATGGGAGTTAAATGAGATGATAGCTGGAGTCTGACTCATGAGCAGGGGAGCCATTGTTACTGTTATTGCTATGGTCATATGTGTGACTGTTCTCAGTGTTGGCAGGGTGCGTTATAAGCAAAACAGCCAATCCACATCTGTTGACCTTGGCTGCGTATGAAGCACCCCTCCGTAGACACAGGAGCAGAGGACCCTGTTCCACAAAGGTGCTCGTGGCCCGAGGGCTGAGATGACAGGAACGGCTCTCAGGGGTGCTACATTATCCACTATACATGTCCACCAACCACTTTTTTTTGCTGTCTTTGGATTGTGGAGAAACGTCTCATTATGTAGTTCAAGATAGCTTTGAATTTACTATGTACTCCAGGCTTGTGTCAAACTCACAATCCTCCTGCCTCAGTTTTCTGAGTGCTGGGATTACAGGAGGGTGCCATTCAGTGTTTGTTTTGTTTTCAGGAGGTGTTTTTGTCTCCCGAATGCTGGGATCAAAGGCAAGTGCTACCAATGCTCGGCCGCCATACAGTTTTAAAAGACATAAAGTCTATTAGCTTGGGGTTAGAGCAATTGGGAAAGTGCTTGTGCACAAGTGTGAGGGTCTAGGTTTGATTCCCAGAACTTACACAAAAATCTGGGTGTGATGGTGTGTGCTTGTAACCCCAGCCTTGAAGAGGCAAAAACTGGTGGATCCCTGGGCTTTTCAGCCTAGCCTAATCAGGCAAGCCCCACACCAGAAAGAAACTCTGTCTCAAGAAACAAGGTAGCTGAATATAATGACACACACCTTAACTTCTAGCACTCAGAAGGCAGAGGTAGGTGGTTCTCTGTTAGTTCCAGGCCAGCGTGGTCTACAGAGTGAGTTCCAGATCAGTCAGGGATACACAGAGAAACCCTGTCTCAAGGCAGCAACAACAAAACCCAACAAAAAAATAAAAACAAACAAGCAAAAAACGCCGTGAAATAAGTTGATGGATACTTGAAGAGTGACAGCTGAGGTTGTCCTGTGGCACACACACACACACACACACACACACACACACACACACACACACAGGAACATATGCACCTGCACACACTGGCATAGTGTGTGAGTGTGTGTATGTATATGTATGTGAGTGTGTGTATATATATGTGTGTGTGTGTGTGATTGAGTGTGTATGTATATGTGTGTGTGTGACTGTGTGTGTATGTATGTGTGTGTGTAGTGTGCGTGTGGTGTATATATATGCTATGTTTTGTTTAAGCAGTGCTGAGGATGCAACTCAGGGCTTCTGCATGCTAGACAGATGCTCTGTCACTAAGCTACATTCTCAGCCCACATTAATAATTTCATTTGCTCTCCAGGAATGTCGGACAGTGTCTTGTTGGAGATTATTGCAAAGAAAACACCCCCAATTTCTCCTCTTAAACACCAGTTCAAAATCTACAGAATAGGATGGCATTGCAAAATCGGGGTCTTCATATGCTAGACAAGGGTGTCTCCTAAGGACGCATGTGCTGGTGCTCGGTTTCCCTGTGGCAGTCTAGGCATGGAACCTTTAGGATGTGCGGTCCTGGGAGAAGTTCTATGAGAGCAATGCCCTCCCATAGCTCCATGGGGTGCTTATTGGGTCCCCACTCTAAGGCCCGTCTGACCCTCCAGTTTCTGTGACATGGAAATCTTACAGTTGATTCTCCATGGTGTCGGGTAGGGAATTGCCAGTACCATGCATGACATGGACCTCCCCGTGCCTGACACTCATTCACTCCATTGGCTATCTTCAAGTTCCTTAGCAGTCCTCACTGCAGGAGTTGAGAGCCCATGGATCGCGGCCTGCCTGACTTTCGAGTGCCACCTCGTGGCCTGATGGGTGACTGCAGGTTCAGTGTAGAAATTCTGGCTGGTCTGCCTTGGAATTTAGTAGCTGCTAAAACACGGTGAAGGGGGAGGGTGGAGGGTTGTCTGCAGAAAGCCACATGGATGCTCCGTCACACCGGGGAGATGTGCTAAGAACGTTTAATATGTCACTTAGTGATTATCCAGGGCTCCAAGGCATGGACAATATACATATTCTTTATCTAGGATGTGGATTCTTCTTCTTGTTGTTCTTCCTCCTCCTCCTCCTCCTCCATATCCATTGGAGAATGCAAGCATTTCTTTGCATTCTACAGTAGTTCACAGTGTGCTGGCCCAGGGAAAGTCAGTTGTCTCTCCTTTCCTGGCTGACCCTGGCATGCCCTGTGTGGACACCGGCACCACCCAGGATCTCCATTCTCCACTTTCGACTGTCAGACTCCAAGTTCCAAGTGGGGTGCACCCTACTTCCATGTCCCCGTGACTTCTGCTTCAGCCCTGCCGTTCCCTCTTCCCAAACGTCCTTGGTGCTGTCTCTGCTCACTCTACTCTGACTGCTTTAGAATGCTCAAGCCAAGCACCCCCTCTCCCAGGAGGCTTCCCAGGAGCCCTTCCCCACATAGAGTCCCTTATGTCTTTTGAGTAACTAACAGCTCATGCTTGGCCGGGAGACCTGGGTCATAGAAGAAAGAGAAAACGGCAAAGGGCACTCCAGACCCCATCCTCCGCCTGCTGCCAAGTCTGGAGGTTGGACCAGAACTCGAGGCAGTGAACAGAACGTTCTTGTCCTGCAGTGACTTGGGGGCAAGGTATGCCTGCCAATAGGGACTTTGAGGAGGGGACTCCTCCCTCTCTCACCTCCCAGGCCATGCCTTCACCTGGACTGGGTGTTGGGGAGGCAATAGGCAGGTGGCAAGGGATGGGTGGATTAGCCCAGCCTCCAGCCCCACATTTTTTAGTGACAGGATTTTAGACATTGCTGTAGGCTAGAAAGGTAGCAGCCCACTGCTCTTGAGGAGTGGGCCATGGGAGCCCCTCCTCCCCCATCAAAGCTCTGTTTAGTTCTGCCTCCCAGCTGTGCAGTTTGGGAGTCTCTGTGAGGCAATTGGAAGTAGGAGCGTCCCCTTGTCTCCAGGTGCTGGCCTGATCTTGGAGGGTCAGCTCCTAAGGCCGGGAACAGTGGGGCCTAGGAAGAGCAGCTGAGGTGGGGGGGTGGGAGCAGGGTGCAGTGAGGGTAGGGTCAGGGTGGTAAGGCTGAAATGTTTGTGGTCAAAGCTGCTTTCCAATCTTGGCTTTGTCCTCATGTTAGCTTTGTCATACGGAGCTGCCACCCTCTCCCTTGGGCCTCAGTTTCCCTTTCAAAACTGGGATCCTGCCTTTCAGGGTTGTTAGGGGTACAAATGAGAAAGTCGCTGCCGGAATTACCCAACCAATAGCCAACTCAGCAGAGGCTGTGGGGAAGCGGTCTGTAGGGGGCGCTGGTGCTCACCGGCAGCGTGAGATCCCTTTGGTGGCTCTCTGGTGGCTCTGACAGCCATTGTATTAGGTGTGTTCTGTCCCTTGGCTAAACTGCCATCTGTACCTCAGTGAGGACACCCCACACTTAGCCTCTTGATCCTCGGGGGGCCCAGCTGTGGTCCATGTCATCCCATTTGGGGGCATCCCTGGCATGCTCAGCTCACATGCCTCAGACCAAAGACTCCCCCATTCCATCTTCTCCTCCTGCACCCCAGCAGCAACGGCCAGAAATCTAGATGTTACCCGAACACTTGGAGAGTCTGGACTTTTTTCCTTGCCCTCCATAGGGACAACCCTGGTCAGAATTGCTGTCACCTCTCCCCTCTGACACAGCTAACCTCCTGGCCCATTCAGTTCTCCTAGGCCAGAGGCATGTCTCTTCTGCCCAGCAGCATCCTTCTCCTGGCCCACAGCCTTGGCTACTTTTCTGGCTCGGACACTCAGCTTCTGCCTCCTCCAAAGTGTGTAAGCCTGCACCGCTCACTCCCCGTCCGCTAGGTAACTTCAGATTTCCGTTGAGTGGCTTCTCCCGGGAAACCTTCCCTGATTCCCACCCCCATAAGACCAGGTGCCCCCCGACCAAGGCCCTAGAGTGTCCTCACAGGCACTATGTCAAAGCTCCTACATCCATGGTGGTGACCATCATTTCTCAGCCTGCTTGACTCTCAAAGGACCTTTCATGAACGAAGGCTGCTTCGGTGAAGGGGTGGATGAGTGCGTGAGGTAATTTGGATGGGGAGGGGTGGTGATGGCAAGGAGCTGAGACCGCCCAGGGAGGGAAGGAGGGAGAAGGGGATTAGGAGGAGATGGAGTTGGATAAGACCAGGGACCCCCCCAACCCTGTGTCCATGACTTGCTGCTCCCGGCAGCCACAGGGAAGTCCAACAGTGTCACAGTCAGGTCCCTCTTAGGCCCAGTCCCCACCCCAACCCCCCAAGCAGAAGCCACACAGGCGTGTACAGGTTGTTTATTTACAAATATACCAACATCTCATCTTTTTCTTGTTGTTTCCATTTTCTGCTTTTGTGGGAAGAGGCAGGTGAGTGGAAGGCAGGGGTGGTGATGTGGTAACGCTAATAAATAATTTAACAATGACAAGTTATTAAATAAAATGTGTGTGGGGATGGCAGGCGGGCAGTCTGTACAAGGTAAACAGAAGAATACTACGATGGGTGGCCTGGCCCCAGCCCAGCTGCTACAGACTCCCTCCAGTGGGCCCCCAGGGCAAGGTAGCAGCCCAGGAACCATTGGCAATTGCCCCTATCAGGGGCCTTGCGCTGAAGGGTCCTTCCTGCTTCTCCGCGTGCGAGCCTCCTTGTGTCAGGTGTGAGTGTGTGTGCACACATGTGTGAGTGTGGTGGCCCTTCCCCACAGCGGTCAGCCCTGGGCTGCAGCATCCCCCTGGCCCTAGGGGTGCCCAGAGCTCTGAGTTCATCTTCCCCCTGTGTTCCCTGACTGAGCAGGGGGGACATCCAGGTAGACTTGGGAGTTGGCCTCACTTCAAAGGGATGTCCCTTAAGGAGGAGAGGCTGCCTCTCCACTGGGCCTACTCATTCTGGGCCAGCTCCTCACCGCCCACAACCCCCTCCAGGAAGCCTCCATGACGGCAGGCTGCTTGTGAGTCACTGAGGGCAGCAGAGTGTGGGGGAGCCTCATGGAATGAATCCACAGGTAAAGCTGGGGTACTTGTCACTCCTGTGTGACACCTGGGCAGGCGCCTTCATCCAGCTGAGCCTCAACATGCCGCATCCCCATGTAGGAGATGGGACGTGGTTCATCTCTGAGACACCCCCACCCATCTCTCAATTTCTGCCTCTTACGCCCGTATCCCTCTGCCCCTTCAGGCTGCAGGCCAGGCCGCCCAGCCCCTCACCACTTCTCCCAGCCTCAGCTCCCCAACCTGAGCAGGGTCTCTAACAAGATCTGGGCAGGGCTGTGGCACAGGCTGTCTCTGCTCACAGGACAGAAGCCCGAGTCCCTGCAGCAGTCCAGGGCTGGCATGTGCTCCTGAGTCTCAGAGGGAAGCAGGCCACAGCCATGGTGAACCCTGAGAACGGCTGCCAGGACATCTCCCGTGTGACAGCTGCGGTCCCTCCTCAGGCAACTTTCAAGTGTCCTGATAACATCTTCTGCCTGGGGACACCAGCATGGGAACAGCAGAGGCCAGGGCTGGACTTGGGGGTCTGGAGGCCCCAGAGCAGGAAGGGAGGACCCTTTGGGACCAGCAGGTGTGGTGAGACACACTGGTCCCTGGTGCAGGCCACTCAAGAGACAAAGGAGATAACAAGCCTGCTGCAGCTCTGTCATTATCGTGCTGTGAGGCCTTGAGCACATTCCTGCCCGACTCCTGTCTCAGATTTCCCAGCTGTCACAGAAGGGATAACCTACACAGCCCATTGGTATTGTGTCTTCCAACTTAAAACATGGTTAAGAGAAGGCCTGGTCTCCCAGGAGCCAGTATCCACCCTGGGTCCACCCTAAGTATGCCCTGTAGGATTCAGCCAGGGGCCTGTGCCAGAGCAGGGAAGGGTCAATCTCCAGGGAGCAACTGGCTCAGGACCATAACTTCAGCATGGAGATTAGTGATGTCCTCTTTATAAAAGAGGGAAACGGGAGGGCTATGCTGGCAGCCGCTATTCCCTGCGGACTCCATCTTGAGACATTTGAGTGGGGTTAAGGGGGTCTGAGGTCTCCCCAGAGACAGAGAACAAACCCACACAACTTAACTAGCCAGACGCAGGAGCCCAAAGTGGAGAGACACTCATTCTTATGTGTTCACAGCTAGAGCTGGGCAGACACCAGGTGTGTGTGTTGGGGGTTAGGACTCAGCATTAAATGGGTGATAGCATCCTGGGCCTCTGGCCCCAGGACCCAGTGCCTGCCAGGGCCCAGTGGAGGTTGCCAAGAAAAGACCCACTGTTGCTTCTGCTTTGGGCTGGAAGAGTCCAGGAGGCTGAAATGCTGGTGGGCTATATAGTGTGCACGGGCACTGCAGGGAGCCCCATAGGGCGGGCCTCTCGCCCAGCTGACGCAGTGGAAAGGAATAGCCCAAGCTGACTGAGCCAACGAGAGGTAACTAGGCACAGGCCACATGTTGAGGAGTTGTGGCTTGTCCCTGTACCTCCAAAGCCGAGACCTAACCCACCTGCTGGATCTCACACCACATCATCAGAGGTAAGGTGCAGACGCAGGGGAGGGGATGGGCCTGCGCTGTGTGAGTCAGATGGCGTCAGGAGGGCAGCTTGATGGCGTCAGGAGGCCAGCTTGGCCACAGAGTCCTACACCTGCCAGCCTACAGCCTCAGTCTGCTAAGAGGAGACCGAGGGTCAGGAGGGGCCACGGAAAGGGCAGCTAGCCCTGTCAAGGAACAAGGACCAGGGGAAGTGAGTATCAGATGGGGTCAAGCCAGTGGCTTTGGGGCCCTTTCCATCTGGGTCATTTACTGTGGCCTGATACTACCTGCGTCTGTGGGCTCCGTCTCTGGACTGGGACCTGGGTCTGTGACTGCCCTCCTGCTCCATAGTCCTGACCTGTACAGCCTGGATGCACCTAGGCCCACCTGCTCACACCCAAAGCCTCCCTCCTTCCTCTCTCTCCAGCTGTTCTCAGAGGCCGGCCCTGCCCACTGGCCTCGCTGCCCCTAGACTGCAGAGCGTCTGCCCGCCCCTTCCACGCCCGTGTGTGTGTGCACCCGGGTGCCTCCACATGCTTGCACAGGTGTGCCCGCAGATGCGTGTGCTTTTACATGTGCATCTCTGTCCCTTTGGGTCTCTCTGGGCTCTGCCCCCATGCCTCCTCTTGCTTGTGACTCCTAGTTCAGGCAGGGACAAAGAGCCTGTCACCCCTGCTTGGTTCCTCCTCTACTCTGCCCCCAACCTAGGGCTGGGCCTCCTAGGACCCAGAAACCATCCCTTGCGCTGACCAGAAGGGGAAGTGGTCACCTGCGCAGGACACCCGTATAACTGTTTCTCGGGTACCAGGCACCGTCCCAGGGCTGGCCTTGCAGGGACGATGGAGGCTGGCTGGGAATACAGAGACTGTTTAAAGAAAAAAAGCAGAACAAATATAAACTTCCCAAAAAACAGAGATGGGGAGGGGAGAGGAGGTGATGGGGTCAAAGAGCTGGGAGGTGAGTGGCTGTCCCAGAGCTCTGGGTCCCCAGGAGTCACACGGTCTCTGTGGGCAGGACACAACCCCTGCCCAGGCTGCACCCATCTGCCTGTCTGGCTGTGCCCAGTGGGCACTTGAGCCAGGTCCGGCTGGCCGAGGGGAGGGCACCGTATGGCTGTCTGTAGAGTCTGAGTGGGTGGTGGGCTGGGGGGCCGGCTGGCTGCAGAGGCCTGTGGTCCCACCCTAGGCCCAGGCCCAAGCGTCCATGCGGCCCAGCTGGCTCTCAGGAGGCAAAGTAGGAGCTCTGCATGGAGTAGAGCCGGTCGATGGGGTTCCCCACGCGGGCCTGCAGGGAGCCCACGTCAGAGGAGCCGAGGAAGCAGTCGCTGAGGCTGGTGAGGGAGGTATCACTATCGATATCGTGGAAGATGGAGTCGTTCCCTGTGGGGTGCAGAAGGGATGTCAGGAGCTGGGTGTGGGCCAGGGCTCCAGGAGGTCCTGGCAGCCCTGCAGGCTCTGTGGCCAGGGGTTATGGGCAGGCCAGCTGGCTGGGCTAGGCCCTTCCCGTCAAGGGGAGGCATGCTGGCAGTGCTGGCTGGACTGCCCTGGGCCCTGGGCCCTCAGCTTGAGGTAGCAAGGACTGTCACAGCCTCTGACTAGGCAAGGACAGAGGGCAGTGCTGGGGTAGATGGGGTGGGGCAGCTTACCATAGGGGTTCATGTGGTCACCTGGCATTTGGGGTGGCGTGAGGCCCTGCTGGAAGGGGTCGCTGCTTCCGTAGGGGCTCTGCTCCATGGCCACGATCTGCTGCTGCGGAGGGGCCAGCGGCGTGTAGGAAGCCATCATGCCCTCCATGCGGCTTGACAGGACCTCTGAGGACAACGAATGCCTTCACCAGCTGGTCCCGTCTGCCCCGTCCTGGTGGTCCCTTCAGATACTCCCCAGGGACCCTATGACTCCCTTCCTTGATGCACCTTCTGCCTTCTAAGCTCTCCAGGTCCTTCCCCAAAGACTCCCCCATTGCTTGGTCATCTAACCGCTCCAGTACAAGAGCACAGGCTGGAGAGGCGGTAGCCTATTTTGGCAGTAGCCACGTGCCATGGTTAGCCACGTGCCACGGTTAACCACGTGGGGAGCACCAAGATGGAACCCAAGCCCAGCAAGGCTTCTTGGAGGCAAAGCCCTCATCCCAGCAGAACCTAGAGAACAGGGAGGAGGTGATAGGACAGGCTGGGGAGGGAATGGTGTGTTGGGTGGGACTGGAGAGTCCAACGGCTGGGGCTAGACATCGCGGACAAGGCAGTCAACGTGGGCAAGCAGGTGGTAGGAAGGCTAGGCCACAATGGACGCTTAGGAAGGGGGTGCAGCGGGCCCCCGGAGCTATCTGAAGCAAGAAATGGGGAGAAATGTCGGGAGACTGGGTCTGTTTGGGGGGAGAGGAAATGAGAAGGTCCTCGGGACCCTGCCAAGGTCTCTAGAGGAAAGACAAACAATACTTGGAGGGCGCAAGATGGGCGAGGGACAGCCACTCCCCAGATGGGACAGGACAGAGGGAAAGGTGGGGGTCAGAAGGGCCATGAGCACTGGGGTAGCACCAGATGACTCTGGTGAGCTGGGAGGATTCTGGGTAGCATGTAGGAGTGAGCCGGGGACACTGGAGAACAAGGGACGCTGTTCACCCAAGAACAAGTACAGGGCTGCCTGGTGGCCGGAGGCAGGAGCGTGTGGCCCCAGGAGGACCGAGAAGGGGAAACAAGAGATCTGGGGTCTTGGAACCTTGGCAGGGCCCCAAGTCCAGGCCGGGATGCTGCTCTGACTCCAGCCAGGTGTGGCAGAGCTGCCCACCCCCCCCAACAGATCTTCCTCCCCCACACTGGCAGTCCAGGGGCTCTGCACCCTCCTCCCTCCATAACTTCTAAGTCCCCAAGTTCCTGTGTAGCCACGGAGACCATCCCTGGCTCAAGCTGAAACAGATTTCTGAGTGAAGACCAGCCCCAGAGGGCCTGCCTTCTGCCCCGTGGACTAGCTCCTCACTGCTAGAGGCAACCCGCCAGGGGCGTCCCCATACTCCGTCCCGCTTTTCTGGGGCGCTTTCACGGAATGAGTGAGCAGCCAGTGTATGTCACTGCTAAAAGCGCAGGTTGGAGCCCTACAGACAGGCAGCTTCGCCCCTTGCCAGTGGTATGATCCCAGAGGGTCCCTGGATCTCCCCAGGCCTCGGTTTCCCCATGAGGTACGCCTGACAGCCCTGACCGTGAGAGCCGAGTGAACTGGGGCCGGTAGGGCGTGGGGAGAGAGCACAGGGGACAACAGTGACCTTTGCAGCTGAGACCCCGACAACCCTTCCATTGCAACCTCTGCTCCCCGTGTCCATGGGGCTCACCTTGGCCCAGCCGCTGGGAGTTCTGCTGCTCCTGCTGCTGCTGGTGCCGCCGAGCCAGCTTCTTCATCTGCAGGGTGACAAGCCGGGCGCCCACTCAGTCTGTGCCTGCACATCAGGCCCTCGTTATGTCCCCTCACCCCCCTGCCCATCCCCATCTCCCAGGTGTGTCCTAGAGCTCTGGAGTAGCAGGGACCTCTCACCTTTGCTCTTTGGTTCTGAAACCAGACCTGGACCACACGCACGCTGAGGCCCGTCTCTGCTGCCAGCGTTTCCCGGACCTGACCCGGAGAGAGGAGGGGGCAGGTCAGGTCTGTGTAGATGGCAGCTGGGAGGTGGCAGTTGGGTGGAGGGATGGAGGGGCTCTCCTGTGCCCGGTGACAGCAGTGGGTTGGGAAGGAGGAGTCGGGGCCACAGTAAGTAAAAGAGGGGTGTTGGCATCAGACCGTCCCCCACCCCAGAACTCCTCACCTTCCGACAGGGCTTGGAGGAGACCTCAAAAGAAGCCTTGAAGGCTCTCCGCTGCTGCGTGGTGAGGATGGTCCGGGGCCGTTTGGGCCTTCTCGGGTCCTTCCCGTCGTCCCCACCGCCCTTACTCTGGCTGCCCTGCCCCTTTGCCGGCTTCATGTCTCCGTCTTCGTCCTCACTCTTCACTGTGGGAGACACAACCCGACCTGTCAGTTCAAGCTGTGTGCCTTCAGGTGAGAATTCCTTCACCCACCTGCCGTGGCTCCCTTCCCTAGAGTCTGCCTGGGCCTTCATCTCCTGCTCCCTGCACGCCCCCTGACCCTCGCTCTCTCAATCTGGGCCCAGCCTGGTCTAACTGCTGACCCGCAGGTTTCCCAATGGCGTCCACGGTTGCAGGTGCTCATGGGCTCAGGGAGACAGTGAATCAGTCCTGGGGGTGGGGGATGGACCCAGGTGCACATGCGTGGCCATGCACGAGCCTCCGGTGACACACACACTGGAGTGTATGCAGGAGGCTGGTGCTCACACACAAGGACAGATCTGCTCTTGTGTGTCTGAAGGCCAGCAGCCTCCTACACAGGCGTGTGGCAACTACGGCCCAGGCTGGCCATGGGCTTCCCCAGCTCATCATGTCTGAAACCCACCTTCTGCTGACCTCTGAGGGTCATGTGTCATTCCAGCTGGGGACCAGGGGAAAAGAGAAGGACATCAGAGGCCTTCTTTCTTGAGACCTCCAGAGACTAACAACTAACAAAGACACAGGGGTCAGGCATCCTCACAGGAGAACTTGGTCCCTGCATCTTGGTACAGAGGTCCATACATGTACTGCTTAGAGACATTTACAATCATAGGCTTACGGAGGCCTGTACCCATGGGCAGGGACACATACATGCCAAGGCACATGTGGCATGAAGAAGCATGTATGCACACCCAGCAACATACACACCGCTTCCATGACCCCAGGGTTTGGGGCCTTAGAGAGTCAGGTACATGGTCAAGCTTCCTAACAACCATTAGTTTCTGATACCCTTCACTGGATCCTGTCCTCTCCCTAGCCCCTCCTTCCCTGGAGGTGAACCTCATGGAGGTGATTCCTTCTACCATACCTGCAAGGTAGGCCAGTGCCCTTCCCTTCCGTGGGAGTCCAGGTGGCCACAGCAATGGTCTAACCCAGGGATGGCCAGCAGCAGATACATGAGGACTCTGCCGTACTACAGCCTAGACAGCGGGGCCCTGGAAATGGCAGACACTCCCCACGTGGGCAGAAGCTATCTCTGTGGTTCTAGGATACCTCAAAGGATAGGACGGCCATCTCAGCATGTTCCCTGCTCAAGTTTCAGGAGTGACAGGGTGCCAGCTGAACTTTAGGCCTTGTCTGAGAGCAAGCGCATGTATGCACAGTGCATGTGAGCGTATACAAACCTGCATACATGCATGCACAGCCTATGAGTGTGTGCTGGTTAGCTGCAGAGATATGAAGCACAGACATGTGTATGCGCCTAGGGGGAGCTTTGCATGCTTGGGCGTGTGAGCACATGTCCCCACATAGGGGCACATGGAGTAGTGTCTCTACAGTACTGGGCACATGTGTGGTCATGTAGGCATACAGGTGTGTTTTCCCTGTGGTTGGCACCCAGATAAGTACTAGGGCGGCGTGCAGGGATGGACGGGACGCATCAGTGCTGGCTGGACACGTGTGGGGGTGCGGGCCTGTGGAGCTCAGAAGACGCCTCCGGAATGGCGCTGAACCATGTCCCGCAGCTGCCCCAGCCCAGGCTCACCGGAGTCAGACTCGTCAGGGCTCACGGAGCTGAGAAGATCCTTCTCCTTCTCGTAGTCGCCCTTGCACAGCAGCTGGCCCTCCTTGAGCACGAACTCATCACCCTTGCGCAGCTGCCTCTCACACACACAGCAGCAGAAGCAGCCCAGGTGGTACACGCACTCGAGCGCCCGCATCACGAACTCCGTAGGCGCGATCTTCTCCATGCAGCCGCTGCATTTCGCCGCGAAGAGCCTGCGGGGAGCGGAGGAGGCACAGGCTGGGCTGAGAGGGTCTTGCCCAGGACATCTCGCTCTGCCACCCTAGCAGGCAGCAGTGCGGGGAGGGCGGGGACACACCCTCCTCTTCCGCATGTCCCACGGGGAACCCAGTCAGCTCTGCTTCAGGGGCTTCCTGCTCAGGCACGGAAGCCACTAGGGGGCAGTGTTCAGGGTCAGTCTCACTCCCTGACCACTAGCCTCCTTCACCCCCAAAGCCAAATAATCCCAATTTTGCCCTGTCCTCCAGCCTGGGCCCTTCTTCCCAGCCTGGGCTCCCAGATCTCAAATCCTTCAACCTCCCCTCACCTGTGCCCCAACACGGGACACAGAAGGCTCTTCGTATACTTATTGATCTTGCTCTTTCCTGACCCGCACTTCCACAGCTCCCTAGCGCCCTCAGAAGAACATCCCGTCTCACCCGCCCTGCTTCCTGGGTGTAATCCCTCAGAACAGCCACGGGGTCTCCAGTGTACCCTCACAGCAGCCGCTGGACATGCTCTGTCCCTGCCCTCGGATTGGTGCCACCTTCCCGTCCCTTCATTTCCTCACGGGCATGGCTAGCAGATGCACTCAGCACATTACACATGCACGTCACCTGTCACCTGATCTTGCAATGGCCCTTGAGACCAGAGAGACCTGGCCCCATTTTCGGGACGAGGAAAAGGAAGTGCAGACCAGAGTTCCTCTTGCTCAGAGCATGAACAACTCCCAGGGTGGGCTGATCCAGGAGCTCATCATGGATGGTGCTATCTCCCATCCAAGGATGTAGCCCCGACAGGGCTTCCATGCCCTTGGCCGGCTTGTGCTGGATGGCCCTGCTGTTCTGCTGACCGCTCCTCCCCACACCCCCACACCCTGTCACATGCCTGCTCTGTGGGAACTCAGCCTCAACAACACTTTGATGGAAAAATTTATGAAGAATCAAATTATTGCTGCTGGGAGGGAATTAAAACCATTTTTCATTTCCCGCATCCCTGGGCCACGTCTGCGGGCGCCACCTTGGGAGCACCGCTCGAGTCCCATCCCTCTTTATGGCCCGCCATCACGGGCACAGATTACAGCTGCAATTCTCTGCTAATCGGTTCTGGAGCAGGGACAGCCGTGAACGCCAGGCTCCAGCCCTGCCTCCCTTCCCCGGGGCTGCCATCAGCACCGCCCACGACAAAATGCTGTGGTACGGTGGACAGGGATTCCTCCGGTTCTGGTTGCTGCCCTGGCACTGGCCAGAGCACTCAGCCTGGGAGCAACCCCCATGCCCACCTCTATTCTGTCTGGCAGACTCCTATTCAACCTGCAACACCCAACTCCAATGCCACCTGCTCTGGGAAGCCTTCTCTGATGATGCCGTAGTCTAGGGCACATGGCTTCCTCTAGCCTGCCTCTGAACTTCCTTACTGCCTCAGGTGGCTCTGCTGTAAAACAGGGGTGCCAGAAAACCATCCTGAGGATCTGATGACATTGAGCATGTGAGTCAGCAAAAAGTCGTAATGTAGGAGGTCTCCGAGAGGTCCCAGCTCTAGTGGGGATAGCTCACCGAAGAGTATAGCTCCTTCCATTCTCAGGGGAACTCTGTGTGCATTTGTGGTGTGTCTTTGCCAAGTCTGGGCATGGAACTGAAGGTCAGAATAGCCGCTGGGGACAAGCGGGAACCCTCTAGCCCCAGCTCGGCCTGTAACTTTGCAAAGAAGGCACAGGCAGAGTACTTTTGTTGAGGGTCCAACCTGTGCCACCGGCAGCCATAGGTAGGCAGAGGCTCTTAAGAGCTTGTCTGGCTATGCCTGCTGCTCTGCACCTGACTAAGGCGCTCAGTGAGGGCTGCAGGGGTCTGAACAGATAGGTATTGGCCAGGTCCAGGTCCCAGGCCAGAGTCAGCACATCCTGTAGGGCTCTAAGACACAGAGCTTCCTAGGCTGCAGAGAAGTAGCAAGCGGGGTGTGTGCTGTGCTGGGGGGTGACCTGCATTCAGAGACTGTGCCACCAAGCTGGCATTCCTACATTCAACAGCCACACTAATGCCTTGGCAGCAGGGGGTGCATTGCGACTTTCTCCAAGCTTATCAACACAATCTATTATTAATGCCCCTCCAAAGGCTCCAGCAGCCATTTCCAGGCAGCACAACCACTCGGGGCATCATCTGTTATCTAGATTGCAAGAGCCTGGGAAATAAAACAAACGGCGTGCACTTTATAAACGGAATGTGCCATCCGTTCGGTCTCCAAGCATCTCTCCACCCAATAAAACATCGGGGGGCACATATGAAATACTCACTCCCAATTATGGGGCCGGCTTTGTCTACCATGCAGGGATAGAGTGAGAGCTACTCTTGAATGCATGTGTGTATATAGGGGTTCCCTCATCTCTCCAAATCCCCGTCTCTCTCTCAGTCCCTTCGCCATGGGCACATGGCTGGAACCAGAAGCCACTGAGAGCCAAGGAGAAGCCGGCCAGCCACAGGCAGGACACTGCCATCACGGAAGCTTGGAAGCTTTGCAGGCAATTCCGCTCTCCTAGTCTCTCTCAGCTTGGTTTGTGGGTAATGGACTCAGCTGAAGCCTGCTACTCAGCATAGCAGGCAGGAGCTATCAGTTTAGATCTGCAAGCAGACAGGGCACACCTTGGCTCTACAACTTCAAGGTGCAAACCCAGAGCTTTGCATGTCCTAGACAAACACTCCTCACCCTAGCTCCATAGCTACCTTGCTATGTGATTTTGGGCAAGACATTTAACCTGAGAGTCCAGTTCCCCATCTATCACATAGGAACTCTTGGGCTGAGGGAGTAGCTCAGCTGATAGAGTGCTTGCCTAGCATGCAGGAAGCCCTGGATTCTATCTCCAGCACCACGGTAAACCAGGCATCGAGGTAAACACTTGGGATCCCAGCACTGGGGAGGTGGAGGCAGGCCAGTGAGATGGCTCATTGGGTAGGACTTGCTGAGTTCAGTTCCTCACACACACAGAGACCGTGGAAGGAAGGAGAGAACAGACCTCCGTGTGCAAGCTCTGTATGTCCTCCCATTATACACACAGCAATAAGAAGAAATGTAAAGCCCGGCGTTGGTGGCGCACGCCTTTAATCCCAGCACACAGGAGGCAGAGGCAGGTGGATCTCTGTGAGTTCAAGGCCAGCTGGTCTACAGAGTGAGTTCCAGGACAGCTTCCAAAACAATACGGAGAAATACTGTCTCGAAACCGCCTCCCCCCAAAAAGAAGAAATGTAAAAGTTCAAGGTCATCTCTGGTTACACAGAGTTCAGGGCCAGCCTGGGTTACATGGGATCCTGCCTCATGCTGCACCATGCTGGTTCAGGGGGCCCCCTGATTTCTGGGAGCAGGTTCCTTGCTGTGTGTGCCTAAGCCCCAGCATGCCTTGCTCTGGCCAGTTCCCCTCCCAGACTGCCTCAATGGGTCCTGCTCTCCTGACTCAAAGACAGGACAAGGACAGCTCTGAGCACCAAGCAGGCTTGGTGGCCATCCACCTGGACCATCTGCCTAGTCCTCACAGACCTGGAGGACAGGGGCAGAGGCTTGTCCAAGGTCACACATGCACTGTTCTGACCCTGTGAGCCCAGACAGCCTTGTATCTGGTTACTGAGCCTGTGCATCTGCCCCAAGGCTACGAGCTTCCTGGAGGCCCAATCTATTTCACACCCCATGATTCTTCCTCTCCAGGAAGGGCCTGGGTTCTTTACAAGCCAAACCCAGGGCTGGGAATGTAGCTCACCATGCTTGCTGAGCATGCAGGAAGCTGGGTTTGATCCCCAGTGCTGCATAAAACCAGACATGACACGCACGTGTAGTCCCAGCACTCAGGAGGCGGGTCACTTAGCTTAAAGTCACATGGAGTCCCAGCACTCAGGAGGCGGGTCACTTAGCTTAAAGTCATCCTTGACTATACAGTGACTTTGAGGCCAGCCTGGGAAACATGAGATCCGTTCTAAAAATAATAACAAAATAAATAAAAACCAAATTGAACATCACTCTGCATGCACACGTTCTCAGTGATCACTGTGTACAACATTCTCTGTGAGAACCCGTCTCCATCAGCAGTTGGGTTCTCAGTGATCACTGTGTACATTCTCTGTGAGAACCCGTTCTCAGTGATCACTGTGTACAACATTCTCTGTGAGAATCCGTCTCCATCAGCAGTTGGGTTGGGTTGTCTAAAGCCCAATTTATTAAACTCGTCAGAGGCTAATTTTAAAAAGTCTGAAAACACGCTAGGATTTGAATGTGGGTCACAAACCTGACAGACGAACTTCTCAGCCAATGACCCCTGTGGGATCATGGAGCACAGCTCTTTAGCTGCGTACAATACTGGCCTTTCTGAGTTGTCCCCAGCCCAGAGGTCTTCAGCCAGATCCCAGAGTCCAGGTGGCACATGCCGAGCTCAGAACCCTGGCTCTGTCGCTTTCAAGCCCTGGAACCTTATTTGAGTACATTCTCTCGTGCCTCAGTGTCTTCATGTGCTTAATGGGGACAGAGATAGATTCTGCTGACATGGGGTGTGGGGGCTCCTGGGACTGGACGGATAAATGGGGACTGTGATCGTTGATATTGCGTCTTCAAGATTCCCAGAGCTAGGGCTGGAGAGATAGCTTAGGGCTATAGTTCAGTGGTTAAGAGCACTGGCTGCTCTTCCAGAGGACCAGGGTTCAATTCCCAGCAACCACATGGCAGCTCACAACTGTCTGTAACTCCAGTTCCAGGGGACCTGACACTCATGGCAAAACACCAATGCACATAAAATAAAAAAATAAATTAAAAAAAGATTCCCAGCACTAGCTTATCATCCTTGTTGAGTGGACGCTCTCTTCCTCCTCCCCCTTACTGTAGGGCGTGCCCCACTGGTACACTTTACAGTCTGTGGGACCCTTCGTCAGGTTCTGGGGATAACTTCTGTTCCACACGTACGCTTGTGGCTCTCAGCGGGACCTTCAGCCCTCTAGACAAGCCCTCACTTGGCAGCAGTGGTGAG